TTATATAATGGTGTACTAAGTGACTGAAAATTTAAGACAGAGAGTGAAAAGTTTTTTGCAATATATATTACCAATCACTTTCTAAGTATTATACAACTTGACTTCCCCCAAGATTAAGCTCTATAAGTAGCTATTACCAAGTCAAAAGAATTTGGTGACTCTAGATTAGGCAGAGTTTGCTCATATAGGACACAAAAAGCATAAAACATAAACTAAAATAGAGACTCGAATTTTATCAACATTAAAAAAGCTTCACTCTTGGTCCTCCCTGGTGGCAAAAGGGGTTAAAATGCAACCTATGAAGCTGTCTGCAGCCACGGTAGCACAAGTTGAGCCCTGGCCAGGGAGCTACCCACATAGGGCCGCAGACCCCTCCTGACTCACCAGCTGCTCCCCTCAGCAGTGTATTTCAGTCAATCTGCCTGTTCTGTTCCCCACTCTATCTCTGGTGAATCCTTTCAGCCCCTGCCCCTCTGGCCTATACCCCAGTTCTTGTATGCATAAATAAATAAATCTTTAAAAAACAAGCATCACTCCTGAATACACTACTGAAAAAGAAAGATAAGCTACAAACAAGAGGAAAGTATTTACAAAGTATATAACTGAAACAGGTAGTTTATCTTTCTTTTTTCTTTAGTCTCTCTCTCTCTCTCTCTCTACACCCACACACGCACACACACACATACACACACACACATTCTTTCTTTCTTCTTTAATTTATTTGTTGACCCCCATGAATTGTTCAAAAGCATTCTATTTAGTCTCCACGAGTTTAAGTTTTGGTTTATTTCAGATTCTTTTATGTTTAATTTCTAGCTTTATAGCATTGTGGTCTTTGAAGGTGCTTGATATAACTCCAATTTTTGAGTTTTTCTAAGATTTATTTTATATCCTAGTATGTGATCTATTCTTGAAAATGTTCCATGTGTAGTAGAGAAGAAAGTGTATTAATCACTTTCGGAATCAAAAACTCTATTCATGTTCATCTGATCTAACATGTCATTTAAGATTTTTAGTGTTTTGTTAATTTTCTGTCTGTATGACCTACTCCTTTATGTCAGTGTTGTGTTGAAATATCCAACAAAAATTGTATTTTTGTTGATATATTGTTTTAGATCTGTTAATAGTACCTTTATATTGCTAGGTGCTCCTATATTTGGAGCAAATATTAAAAAGAGTTATATCTTCTTGGTGAGTTGTTCCCTTGATCATTACACAGAGTCTGTTTTTGCCCTGGATTATTTTTTAGTTGAAAATCTAGATTGTTACACATGAAAAATAGCAGTTCCTGATTAACTGTGAATTATTAACATTTATATACTTATTCCAGCCTATTTTTAGTTTATTTATTTATTTATTGGAGCTTGAAGTCTTTGAGGGATTTTTTTAAATTTTATTTTATATATATTTTTTACATCATTTACTGGATGGTGTCACTCATAGCAGGAATTTAGAAAACCTAAATAAAGGACCAGGAAAAAGACTAATTATAATAAAGTAAAAATCAAAATCAACAAGCAACTATAAACCAGAGACACACTGTGGGGCAGGGGGTGGGGAGTGAGGGAGGGACGGGAAAGGAAGGACTAGAGTAAAAATAAGGGGGGATGGAATTGTATGGGGAATATAACCAAGATGAAAATGCATACATTGTGCAAAAATGAAAAATGGTGTAAAATATTTTTAGTTCATTTTTATCTTTTGATTTTAAATGGTTCTCTTGTAAACAAAATATTGATAGCTGGGATTTTTTTTTTTTTTTCACCCACATTGCTAGGCTATGTATTTTTATTGGTGAATTCAGACTGTTCACATTTAGGGTGATTGTTGATACAAACTACTTATTATGTTATTTTGTTTTGGGCTGTTTCATTTTTCTGTTCTTTCTTTTTCCCTATAATTTCTTCAATTTCCTTTCGTCTTCACCTAGGGTGGCTACTCTGGATTTTAGGTTAGTGGATACCATAGAGGTTTTAATTGAATTCCTATATTTTAGGATGTTTATGGCCTGGTGTCTGCTTTCTGACATTTTACTATACTTGCACCCTTTTCCTCCCTCCCCCTTCATATTTGGTGTTGTTAGCTCATTGACATTGATCTAAACATTGATCTTGACATTGATTTAAAATCACTCTTGTTGTTTTGTTATTTATACTAGGTATTATTTTCCTGTGAAAAACTCCTTATAGTATTGTTTGAAGAGAAGATTTGTTGGTGGCAACTAAATTAGATTCTCCTTGTCCAAGAAAACCTTTATTACCTGTTTATATTTAATTGCCAATTTTTTCAGGATAAATTCTTGGTTGACAGTTACTGTCTTTTAAGATTGTGAATATTGTCTTCCTCACTATTCTTGCTTGTAGAGTATTTGGACTGAAATCCTAATTCAGAAACCCTTACCAGATATTATTTTTTTCCTTGCTTCCTGTGAAATTTTTCTTTAACTTTTGAGAGTTTGTCACTTATGTATCTGGGTGTAGATCTTTTTGCATCTAGGAATTTAGGTGTTCTTTCTGCTTGCTATATTTCTATATTTAATTCATTTAATTCATTCCATAGACTTGGGACATTCTTATTTATTATTTTCTTGAATAGGTTTCCTAGACCTATTTCTTTTTCTTCCCCTCCTAGGAGTGGGGTCATTCATTGGTTTCCTCTTCTAATTGAATTTGGTATTTCTCATAGTGTTTCCTCATTTTTCCTTTGCCTTGATACTTTTTTTTTCTTTTATTCATTTATTTATTTTTTTCTTTTATGTATTTTCACATCATTTTCATTTTTGTACAATGTATGCACTTTCATTTTGGTTATAGTCCCCATAAAATTCCCACCACCCTTGTTTTGATTCTACTCTCTTCCGCCCTCCCCACCCACAGTAGTGTGTCTCTCATTTATAGTTGTCTGTTGATTTTGATTTTTATATTATTATAATTAGTTTTTTCCCTTATCCCTTATTTGGGTCTTCCACATTCCTGCTATAAGTGAGACCATCAGGAATTTTTCTTTTTCTTTCTGGCTTGACACTTTTTCTTAATGTGCAATTTGTTTCTTTGAATCTCTTACAGTTGAAACTCTATCTTTTGCCATAGTTATTGTACTTATAGCACTGTTTGTCTGCATTTTATTCAGAATATCTTTATGTAAACTTTTTACATATTCGGTCTCTTTAGTGAAAAAATCTCTTTGCTCTAGTGTCTCCTTAATGACATCCTGCATCTGCTTGTCTACCTTTGACTGGCCTTCTAGTATCTCATTTAAAAGTCTTGATATTTTTTTTAAATTTTTGCATAGCAGAACTGGGGCATAGGCTAGAGTTACAGGGGATGAGAGGATTTACCAAAGGTTGAGTGCAGAGTAGAATGAGTGGAATACTGAAATACACTGCTAAGGGGAGCAGCAGGTAAGACTGGAGAGGTCTACTGCACCATGTGGTTTAGCTCTCTGGTCAGGGAACAAATTTAGGCTGTGGTAGTGGTGACACTGCTGAGACTTAACCCCTAGGCCACCAACCCCTTTAATATTTTTAAAATCATTGTAAGACATTTTCTCTATTTCTGTCTCCTTTAAACTTGTTCAGGGACTTGTGTCCTTCTTATTTTGTTTCTTCTATCTGTATTAAGACATTCCTTGTTTCCTAGGAATGCATATTGCCTTATTTATTGCTATTTTTGTGTTTGAAAGTAATGGGGTGCTGGAAATTTATATTTATTAGTTTACCTCAGTTGTGAGGTGGAGGAAGGAGGAGTTCTAAGTCTTTAATACTTGATCTTGGTTTGAGGAGTTACCTTAGTCACCTCTACCTCTTGTTTTGTTTGCAGTAAGCTATATTTTGTGCTTAGGTTGTGTTCATTTCCTTTCCACATCCCTGTTGTTCCTTTCTGCCAGGGATCATGCATGATCTATGAAGCTTGGGCCTCTCAGTGGGAAGGGTAATACCCAAATTCCCAGGCTCACCCTCTGGTGATAATTTGCAATTGGCTCAGAGGAAGAACTCTGTGTGTAATGGGCATTGGTGTGCCCATTTATCTGTCAGCCCACAATGGCCTTCATTACTCCACCCTTGCCTTAGATGCAGCTTCTGCATGGCTACCACATATATGGGCTCTTGTTTTGCCTTCCTGGGTGATTTGTAAGTTTACTCTAAAGTTCTTTTTTCTGGTGTAAAACCTTGTACAGAATCCTTCCTTGCTCCACCTGGTTATTCTTTGATCTCTTCTGAGAGGATAAAGGGACCATTCAGTGGGCATGCTGCCCCAATTGCTGGGTTCTCAATTTCCTGCATCAGGGATTGCCAAGTTCCTGCTGCCCTGGGTTCTACCCAGGCCCACATGCTTAACAGGAACCCTCTTCCAAGGAATTTTGCAATGTCCTGTTCTTCTATTGGTGTGACCTGGGATGTTGACCTCCACTGCTGGCAAGCTCCCCCTTGCCTCCTTCTATCCTTTGCCCTCAGTGCCCACTGACTTTACTTCTTGAACTCCCTAAGGATGTCCTGGAGCTGTATATAGCTGGTTTGAAGCATCTGGATTTTTCTGGGAGCACACATCAGTGTTTTTTCTAATGGTTTTCAATAGAGAAGGTGATTGCAGCCTTTTTAGTCCATGTTGTGTTGTGTGTGAGTATTCCATTGTTATGTTTTAAGTAATATACTTTGTTTTGCTAATTGCTTTCACATTTTTTCTTTTGCTTTTCCCTTTAATAATGAGTGACATGAATAATTTTGCTGTATCAGTAGTCAACACTCAGCCTGACACTCTCCTGATAGGGACTTGTAAATTCTCCATGTCCTGTTCTCTTAATGTCTGTAGTATGTCATTGATGTCTTGATTAATTGCCACTCCTTCCACCAGAATTTAACCTCTATTGAAAGAAGAAACTCTATAAACATCATATTATCTATCCAAGAATGAACAGTGGCAAGAATTTGGTAAAGGTAAGAAATAATTAAAGCAAGTATTATAAACAAACAAAAATTTATTCAATATAGAAATGAAGCTGACTCAAAAACTGTTTAGACCTGTGAGTTTCTGTTAGTAGACCATCACCACCAGACACTGTTATCTCTAATGGTATAACAAGCAGAGGGATTCCTCAAGGCATCAAAGTACATTTTCTGGAACTTTCAGAAGGAAGAAACTATGCCATGTTCTGTACAATTATGGAAAAATGCCTCTCATCCCTCCTTCTTCCTCCATCTCATTTCACTTGATGTTAGATCATTTTGTGGTGGCCCTGAAACATGTGGTCCCAATACCATCTCTACCAGGAAATTTGAAGGAAAGATTTCTTTTGCTTTTCTCCTGTAGCCCTGCTCTCAGGCAGCATGACTGTGCTCTTAACCTGCTGGATCAAAGAAAAATATCCATAATAAATTTCTGAATGTGTACCTAGTATTTCCTCTGTTAATGGTCAAATTTTGCATGCCTGAGCATTAAAAAAATAAAAACTAAGGCAGTATAGATTGTAAACTTGATTTTTAAGACTCAGTAACTCCCTTAGTAACTCTTGCTTCTCCATTTCTTACCCTTGTTTTCATTTATTTCTTGCTTTCTAAAGCATAACAAACCTGATATTCAAATGAGTTAGTTCCTCTCCTCTCCTCATACAGATATAAACATGTACACATTTTAGCATTAGCAATAACTGTAGTTAGTGCTCCACTAAAATACAAATGTTGGCTTTTTTTGGTACATTATTGGTTTTTTAGTTAATTAATTTATATATATTTTACATCATTGTTCTTTTTTTTTAAATATTTAAAGAGCAGGTTTATTAGGGAAAGGGACAAGTTTTGCTGAGAGAGGCCTGCATGGTTGCTGGCAGGCGGCCTTGACAGGTCACGGGCAGGCAGGAAGCTGCTGCCCTGCAGAGGGAGAGAGTTGGTGAAAAGAGGCACATGCATAGTCACAGGTGGGCAGTGGGAGTGCTGTCCTGGGCCTGTGCAGAGATGGCATTGATATAGTCCTTTTCTCTTTGGGAGGGGTCACTCCTCCGTGGAGTGGCCTGCTTGTTGCTGATGTCAGGTAACAGGCAAAACTAGAAAGGGATTAGAGATTCCAATGTTCGCTATTTTTCCTCCCTCAGGTGTAGTCCCCATAGATTTTCCTCTACCAATTCACCTGTGCACCATCATCACAGTCCCTTGTGCTCTTCACTCCCTTCCTCTAATTCCTCTCCCTCCCCTGCAGGATGTCTGTCTTTGGTTTATAATTATTTGTTTGTTTTTGTTCATTTTGTTTTGTTTTGTATTGTTATTATTTTTCCCTGATGTCTTATTTGGATCCCCTATATTTCTCCTGTAAGGATTTGTCTTTTTTGATTACTGAATAATATTCCATTGTGTATATATACCACATCTTCTTGATCAAGTCATCTATTATTGAACATTTTGGTTGTTTCCAGGTTTTACCTATAATAAATAGAGCTGCAATAAACATAGGGGTATGAATCAATGTTTTTGTGTCCTTTGGTTAGATCCCTAGGAGTGAAATTGCTAGGTCATATGGTAGCTCCATTTTTGGTACACTGAGGAAGCTCCAGACAGCTTTCCATAGTGGTTGGACAGTTTGCACTCCCACTAGCACTGTAGGAGAGTTCCTTTTTCACCACATCCTCACCAACATTTGCTGTTGGGAGGTTTTTTTGTTTTATTGTTTTTATATATATGTGCCATTCTTACCAGAGTAAAATTCATTATTGTTTTGATTTGCAATTCCCTGATTAAAAGGGATGTTGAACATTTTCATTTCCTCTTTAGAAAAGTCTTTTAAATTCTTCTGTCCATTTCTTCACTTGATTGTTTAATTTGTTCTTGTTGAGTCCTATGAGTTCTTTGAATATCTTTATGATCAGTCCCCTGTCAGTTGTATGGAGTGCAAAGATATTTTTCCCACTCAGTGGGGTGTCTCTCTGTTTGGTTAATGTCTCTTTTGGTGTGCAGAAGTTTTTCAGTTTGCTGTAATTCCAGGTGTTCCTCTTTCCTTCACATTTTTTTACTTTGTCTTCAAAGATGTTAATGAGATAGATGTGTGTATTTTTGTGTCTTACCTATATTTTCTTCTATATATTTTATGGTTTCAGGTCTCATGTCCAGGTCTTTTATCCATTTTGAGTTGATTTTTGTACATGTTGGGAGGTAGTGGTCTAGTTTCATTCTTTTATATGTGGTGGTTCAATTTTCCCAGCACCATTTATTGAACAAACTGTCCTTGTTCCATTGCATATTCTTTGTTCCTTTTTCAAAGATTAGTTGTCCATATATGTGCAGCTTTATTTCTGGGCTTTCTGTTCTGTTCCACTGGTCTGTGTGTCTGTTTTTGTTCCAGTACTCCACTGTTTTAATTATTATGGAATCGTAACATAGTTTGAAGATTGGAAGTGTGATATCTCCATTCTCCTTTGTTTTCATCAGTAAGAGCTTTGGCTATTCATGTTTTTTTTTTTTTTTTTGTGTTTCCATATGAATTTAATCAGTATTTGTTCTATTTCTTGAAGAATGTCATTGAGATTTTTATTGGAATATCATTGAATCTGATTGCTTTTGGTAAGATGGCCATGTTCATAATGGCAATTCTTTCAACCCATGAGCAGTATGTCTTTCCATTTTTTTGTGTTTTCTTTTACTTCCTTTAATAGTGTTTTATAATTTTCTTTGCATAAATCCTTTACCTCTTTTGTTATTATTCCCAAGTATTTGATTCTTTTTTGTTTCAATTATAAAAGGGATGGTTTTCCTGATTTCTTATTCTTCAGATTGATTGTGTATAGGAAGGCTACTGATTTTTGCATGTTGATTTTGTATTCTGTTACTTTACTAAACTGGTTAATTATTTTGAATAGTTTTGCTGTGGAGTTTTTAGGGTTCTCTGTATATATTATCATGTTGTCTGCAAACAGTGATAATTTTACTTCTTTCCCTGCGTGGACTACTTGTATGTCTTTCTCTTGTCTTATTGCTCTGGCTAGGATCTCCAGTATTATAATGAAGAGTGGTAGTGAAAGGGTTTTTTCTTGAGGATTTTTGCATCAGTATTCATTAGGGAGATTGGCCTGTAATTTTCTTTTTTGTGTGTTGTCTTTGGTTTTGGTATTAGTGTAATGTTGGCTCTGTAGAATGTATTAGTAGCATTTTTTCTTTTTCATTTTTTTTAAGATTTATTTATTTACTTATACAAGCACTGGGTACAGTCAGAAGTGTGGGAGGGTGAGAGAATTCACCAGAGCCAGAGCGGGGAACAGAACAGGCAGACTGATGAGGAGAGGTATGTCGAGCCATGTGGGATGCTCACCAGTGGCCAGGGATCGAACCGGCACTGCAGAGGCTGCGGGTAGCTTCACAGCCCAGTGCTCAACCACTACACCACCAGGGGAGGCCCTCTTCTTCATTTTTTTGAAAGAGTTTGTATAGGATAGGACTAATTCATTTCTGAATGTTTGGTAGAATTTATTTGTAAAGCCATCTGGTATAAGGATTTTGTTTTGGGGGAGTGTTTTGATTACTGCTTCAATTTTGCTGCTTGTAATTGGTCTGTTTAGGTGTTCTATTTCTTCTTTATCTAGCTTTGGATGATTATATCATTCTAGGAATTTGTCCATCTTTTCTAGATTATTAATTTTTTTTACATATAAGTGCTCATATTAATCTTTGATTATTCTTTTGATTTCAATGGAGTCTGTTCTTATTTCTCCTCTTTCATTTATGATCCTATTTATCTGTGTTTTCTCCTATATTTTCTTTGTGAGCCTGGCTAGAGGTTTATCTATTTTGCTTATTTTTTCAAAGAAACAACTTGTGGTTTCATTGATCTTTTTGATTTTTTTTTAATTTCTATTTTGTTTATTTCTTTTTTGATTTTTATTATTTCCTTTTTTGTTGTTGTTGTTCTTTTTCTAGTTTTCTTGAGAGGGGAGATTATGTTGTTTCTTTGAGTTCTTTCTTGTTTTTTGATGTTAGCCTGTATTGCTATATATTTTCCTCTTATTACTAATTTTGCTGTGTCCCATATGTTCTTGAAATTGGTGTTTCCATGTTGTTCAACTCAAAGTATTTTTTCATATCTTCTTTGATCTCCTCTTTAGTCCGGTGGTCTTCCAGTAGTGTGGATTTCAATCTCCATGAAGTGGAAGGGTTCCCTGTTTTTTTTTTTTTTTTCATGATTTATTTCTAGTTCTATGCCTTTATTATCAGAAACAATAGTGGAATGATTTTGATCATAATGTTTCTCTTGATGTATGTCTTGTAGCCCAGCATGTGATCAATTCTGGAGAATGATCCACGCATGCTTGAGAAAAATGTGTACTCGGAATTTTTGGGGTGCACTATCCTATAGATATCTGGTAAGACTGTGATTTCTATGGCTTTATTTAGGGCTCTAGTGTCTCTGTTGATTTTTTGTCTCATTGATTTGTCCATTGGTGAGAGTAGAGTTTTGAAGTCTCCTACTTTATATGTATTTTTTTTAATATCTGTTTTCAGAGCTGATAGTAATTATCTAATATATTTTGGTGCTCCTTCATTTGGTGAATATATGTTGATGAGTGTTATAGCTTCCTGATCATAATGTAGTGTCCATCTATGTCTCTTTTTACCTTTTTTAATTTGAAGTCTATTTTAGCTAATATAAACATAGCTGTCCCTGCCTTCTTTTTGGTCCATTTGCTTGTAGGATTATTTTCCAACCTTTTACTTTCAGTCTATGATTATATTTTGTAGATAAATGTATTTCCTGGAGACAGAAGAAGTTTGGATTTTGTTTTTTAATCCAACCTGCTACTCTGTGTCATTTTATTGATGTGTTTACTCCATTTACATTTAGAGTTAATATAGATATGTCGGTGTCTGTATTTGCCATTTTTTTGTCTTTTTGTGACTTTATTCCTTGTTTTATTCTGTTCTTCTTATTCATTTCTCAGTTGGTTTTGGCTGTAGGACTTCTTGTAGATTATTTTGGAGTGAGGGTTTAGTTGTAATGGATTTCTGGAGTTTCTGTTTGTCTGGGAAGGTCCTTATTTTTCATTCATAGAGGAAGGAGAGCTTTGGAGGGTTAAGTATTCTTGGTTGGCATTTTCTGTCTTGAAATTTTGTCTTTTTTATTGTGGGTAATATACTCAGTCTAACCAACATAGCATTACCTCTTTCTGCTGTCACCTGAAATTTGTTAGTAACCCTAACAAAATAATTTTTGGCTTATGAGACTGAGCAACATTTTGCAGTGAAGCATTTTGAATGTGGCAATAAGAATATATATATATATATATATATATATATACACACATATAGCTAGATATTTAGATATATAAATATCTAAATATCTATCTATATAGAGAGATCTACATATATATAGTCATAATTTTATATTTTACCCATTTACTTAATTTGTTAGTAACTGTCATATTTCCTTTATTTGATACCATATTTGGCTCCAAATTACATTATTCGAAGAGTAGGTATCTGAGCAGTTTTGCTCATGGTGTGACTAAACCTGGAAGCAACATCAATTGGAGCTTGTGGTAAATGCAGATTTTTAGGCTTCACATAGTCTTTCTGAATGAAGACCTCTGGAATTGAAGCTTATGAATATGTGTTTTTAACAAAGCTTCTGGTAATTGTAATTCAGGGAAGATTAAGGATGATTTCTCTAGAGAGGTGAACAATTATTGATGCTATCTGTATTATCTGAGTATCAGGTTAGAATAACCAAAACTTATGCGACTTTTTCTCCTTGGTCTCACAAAGTAATACAAAACAAATTGCCAAAGCTCTTGTTTAAACCCAGTGACAAAAGCTCTAGTGAATTCCTATAGCCCAGTGGTAAGTTCTATGCATTTGGTACTCTCAAGCCTTGTAGCAAAGAGGAAATCTTTTTCCACTCTGGCTACCTTCCGGCTCCAGGGCTGCAAAAGTTTTGATGAATCTCAATTTCTACATTGATAGGATGTTGATATCACTTCCTATGACATATTAAATGAACAAACATTTCATGTTCTGTTCATGAAATGAACAGAAAATATTTCTGTGAAGCATTGACACATGCTAACTCACAAACTGGTGGCCAAAGGGCAAATAGAAGGTGATGAAAGCAAATTATGATGGTCAAACTAACAGTTTTTAGATATTTACTTTGAGTGTATATCAATTGCCTAATGTTAAATTAATGACTGGTAATCACCATAGTTGTCTATGGAAAGCAGAGTTAATTACATTTATTTATTTATTCTGCTGCAGACTGACTAAGGCTAGGAAAGACTTCTTTTTTTTCTAGAACAAAACAAATTATCCTTCATATAACCCACTTACTTTTTTTTTCTTTATTTTATTCCATTTCCAGCTCTTAACTCTTTAAATATGTCAGTCTGAACATGGCCATCTTGGCAAAAGTTTTCTCCTTGAAATGTCAAAGGTATTGTGGCAAAAAATACATTTCTAGAGAGCTGATGATCTCCTAATAAACATTTCTTTAGCTCAGCAGAGAATACATTTTTCTTAGTAGTGTCTTCTTTTCACAGTGTGAAGATTATCCTGCTTGGCAGAAAATATAGAAATAGGATTTTGAACAGTTTGGTTTTTCCCATAGTTTCAGAAAGACACTCTTTTAGTAACAGACAGGTATCAGAAGCTCTAGGAACACTCTCTGTAGCTCAGAAAATCAGTGGTCAAAGTAAAAATAATCAAGAATTTCTTGTTGCTCTCTGTTCTACACAAATTTGTTACTTATTTTTAAAAGCTATATAAATGGACTCTTTTGATCATTTGCTAGATTCCATATTCATAATTTTATCTCCAAGTGCATGCAATTAAATTTTTCCTTTCCTTCTATTACCATGCCTTATGTCAATTTAACTACTGTAAGTACCCAGATTGGTAGAGGAAGATTTGGTCCCTCTTCCATACAAAACTAGGATGACAGTAATATTGTTTGCTATAAAGAGTTAAAAATAAAGCTTATAAACAACTCAGATATTATAAAGCATTCAGATAAAAGATTAGTTACATGTAATATCAAATATGTTACAATCAATATTCACACAATAATTTTACTTGGCCTTCTATGGATTTTGAAAATGTGTCAGTTTATATAATGCATGTTAGCAAGTTATTATGCTAGCATGATGGTTAAGTCATATTTAGTATAGTGAAAATTATAATTTGTCATATGTCATATGTATTCTTAACGCCAACTGAATGGCTAGCAGTTAGTTTTGTTAATAATCCCTCCACTTCATTGCTTCATAAATGAAAGTAAGAATAGTAATAAAACTACTAAAAATAGTGCCAAAGAGAGTGTCAAATTGGGGAACAGGTTACTGTCTATGAATTTTCACTTAAGCACTGAAAATTTCAAGACCATTCAGGCTCAAAGTGCAACTACAATAAGGTTATTTAACAAACAGGAGATTAGGAAAACAAAAGATTTCGTAAGGTCACAAGTGGCCAGCTTTATCACCCTAGATAGTTTCTGTAGTATCTAGTAGTCAAAAACAAGAGTCTCTTATGTAAAATAGTGTCTTTCCTTTGATGAGGACCTGGAACTGGTCTGCACCAGTAAGCAATAGACCAACATTCAATTTGTGGTGCCAACTGGAGGTGATCACCAGGGGTGTTGGTGAGGTGACACCACAGAAGCATACAGCAACTGTCTGAGGGCTGGGCTGCACAACACTGGATGTCCGACTATACAGTGCTGGACTTGATAGCATCCGGAGGCAGTACTGGGCAATCACAATGGATTGCTCTCAAAGGTGACAAGACACAGAGTTCCAGTCAATGTAAGCAGTGCTAGTTAATGTAGGTCAATAATGCTTGTCACCACCTATCACCAGGAAGCAGTGTCAGAAACAGCAGTTTTTTAGGTATCTGTGAGTATTGGTGTGAACCAATAGCCAACAACTCTTTGAGACACCAGGCCAAGGCTTACAGTGTTCCTCACATGTAATGTCAGAGGTACAGCAGCCAGTCTCTGCAAAGGCCTATAGATGTCCAGGGATCTATGGAATTCTGGAGGTCTTGGAAAGTCTTCAAGTTTGCAGTGGTCTGGAGGTCTTGGAGCCTAAGGGGTTTTCAAAGTCCCACAGATGCTGTTTGCTTGAATCCCCTCTCTCTTGGACACATGTGCTGAGTCCTCACTCTTTGGAGGCCATCTGCTGAATGAATAAAACTGAGTTATTCATTACCTTATATCCTCTTCAAGGGCCCCCAACCTACAAGCCTGATTGGACCACTGTTCAATCCTAAATGTGTGATTGGTGCTAGTTAAACACCAATCACACTTGCTCTATTTTCAATCTGCGTTATGAACTCAAGTCCTTGCCTGACAGAGAGTTTTAACCTGATTGGTCCATTTATTATCCTGGTACCCAATACAAAATGGGAAATCCCAGTGCCTTCCCAGACTCTAACTGCACTGAGGCTAAGATAAACTCTTGAGCTGGTGGGCCTCCCTGGTGGCGCAGTGGTTGAGCTCTGGGTTGTAAAGCTGCCCACAACCTCTGCAGTGTTGGTTTGATCCCCGGCCACTGGGCGAGGGTCCCACGTGGAGTGCAGACCTCTCCTGCTGCCTGCTGCTCCCCTCAGCAGTGTACTTCATCTGTCTGACTGCTCTGCTCCCTGCTCTGGCTCTGGTGAATTCTCTCACCCTCCCACTCTTCTGACTGTACCCATAAATAAATAAATAAATAAATAAATAAATAAATAAATAAATCTAAAAAAAAAAAAAAAAACCCTCATGAGCTGGGGCAAACCTCAGTGGAACTGGAAGCATATTGCACTCAGCTCCACAATTCATGGAGCCCTGTTAGAGTACTGGGTCACAGGACCCAGTGACTGCAAGGTGGATTGCATTTAGGAGTCCCTCATGTTGGCCTAGTTCACTGTGGGCCTATCTGCCTACAGCCTCAGGGAGTCACAGCATTAGAGCTGCTACAGTAGGGACTGACACTCCTCCCAGCAGGCCCAAAGCAGGGGCTGTGGGTCTTGGGAGTTTGCTTCTACTATGGAAGCCCCAGGGACACTTGCACTTGGCTGTGGCAGGTGGGGAAATGTCTGCTGTTGCAGCTTTCGAAGAAACTTGGACACTTCCCACAGGCAACATGTTTGTCCACAAGACGACATGTTTGTCCACCCTGGGAAGCTCCCACTGAGCAGGCCAAGCAGATGGTGCCAGAACCCCAGGGATTCCAGTGTGCCAAACTGGTGGGAACCAGGGGAGAAGCTGTCCACAGGTAGCAAGATAAGATGGTAAGTTCCAAGCTAAGTTCCAAGAAAGCTACCATGCCCCACAGCCTCTAGGCACCACAGGGATCCAGTTTCAGTAAGAATATTACTACCCAATTGACAGAGACTTTCAAAGACTTAATGTAATAATGCATGAAATATCACATTGTCTGTCCTATATATACAGAATATAGATGTTGCAAACCACCTGCCTAAAAAAATAAATAAATAAATTATACATAATTTTTGTCATCTTTAGATTCTTAGAACTTTTTAATTCTTTCCTCCCTAGAAATCAAGTAATGTTTGCATAGAAATTCAAATTGATACAAATAAGGATATTAGACTCATATTTTTGCAAATTTAATGGGTATCAAGATGAATTGTATAGACTTTTATAGGCTAATTTTTCAATAAAAGAGATTGCTTCTTTCTGAATATTTATGAAAAACTAACTCAAGCTTTTTTATGTTTCTTCTTATTAAACTATACAGTAAATTTTATCATGAAAGCTCACTAAGTCATATAATAGATGCTTCGCAGTTCAGAAACTTATTTAAGCAGCAAAAAACATGAAAAGTTATAAAATATAAAAGAAGCAAGACATTCATTCAATATTAACATTATAAAATATAACAAGATTGAGAAGATATTAATAACAAGTCTCACAATATCATGTTTTATGTTTCACAATAACATCATTGTGAAAGAGTTGGAAGTAGAATGAAAACAGGCTATCCCTTCATTCATATGTTCACAATTGTTTTGAAGTAAATAGAACTGCATGAAAAGTATATGTATATTTATGAGACAGGCGTTTAAAGTTATTAGAAAAGCATTTGAAAGAGATTTTCATGTTGAAACATGTAGAGAAACATAGATTGAATGAATACACAAACCACAAGCTAAAGATACACCTGGGAATATCTCAGCTTTTTGCTCTAGTATGATAACTCTTTTGATGAACTGTTCCTTTGGAGTAAGTACACTACTGCAGGTAAAGTTTAACCTTGAAAGTCATGCATCTTTGTAAATTATTAAGATCATTTATATGTTTCAAGTACCAACATCTCTTTCTTGAATTGCTTGTACACAATGAAATGACTGCTGGGCTCATGGCCTTGTGACTTGATAAATTAAGTCTAGAGTAGATTAAAAGGGACATTATTTGGAAACATAGTAGATGAGAGAAATGAATGACAACATTTAACCTTTATTAAAGTTAACTGTATGCTAATCACCATAATGGAATATGTGTCAGTCTCATATATTGTCACTGTGAAATATACTCAATTAAAGATGAATTGCTGATTCTGGAAAAAGCATTTCATGACCTATATCACCTAGCTAGAATGAAATATCCAGTAAAAATCTACATAAAAACTGTCCCTTTATCCAAAATGTGCTAGTGGTTGGGGACAAAAAATTCCCATCCATTGTCAGGCCTTTTGTTCTTCCAAGTAATTTTATGTATGTACATATGTATGTATGTATGTATGTATGTATGTATGTATGTATGTATTGTTGAAGAACTGGGCTGTAGGAAAGAGGTACAGAAGGTGAGAGGATTCACCATAGACATAGTGGAGAGAAGAAAGGTGGAATTGGGCCTCCCCTGGTGGCGCAAGTGGTTGAGCGCCACTCTGTGAAACTGTCCGCAGCCTCTGCAGTGCTGGTTTGATCCCGGCCAGCAGGCGAGGATCCCACATGGCATGGCAGACCTCTCTTGTCTCGCTAGCTGCTCCCCTCAGCAGTGTATTTCATCAGTCTGCCTGTTCTGTTCCCCGCTCTCTCTTTGGTAATCCTTTCACCCTCCTGCGCATCTGGCCTGTACCCTGGCTCTTGTATAAATAAATAAATAAATAAATAAATAAATAAATAAATAAATAAATCTTAAAAAAAAAAAGAAAGGTGGAATTACTGAAAGGAGAGCGGTGAGTCAGACAGAAAGGTGGAATCACTGTTAAGGAGAGCGGTGAGTCAGACAGGAGAGGTCTGCAGTACCATATGTGGGTTAGCTTCCTGGCTGGGAATCAAATTCTGGCTTTAGCAGGGACAGCACTGAGACTTAACCCCTAGGCCACTAGGAAAGCCCTATTCTGAATAATTTTAAATTTGGATTATTGGGTCCTTGTAATTGCATTGACTGTATGGATCAATTTGAGAATAAAAATATTTTCTTTAAACATTCTGGCTTCATGGACTTGCCTCAGCAGCCTGGACACCTGCCCAGATGAACTACATCAGGATGAAATGTAGGATATGGGATGTGGGATATCTGTCATCAACCCCAGCAACCTAGACACTGGCCTGGGCAACCCATGCTCAGTTAAGTGTCTGGAGATCATGCTCCTGGATCCCAATTTTCCAGCCAGACAATCCAAACCTGGAAGGGAGCTTCAGGAGTCACCCACTTACCCCAGGAGCCTGGACACCTACCCTCATAACACACCTCTGGTACAAAAGTTAAAGTAAATAATAGGGAGAAAGAAAATACAAATAGCCAAAGCAAACCCTCTGGGGAACATCACGCAACAACAACAAAAAAATCAATCTCTAGAATCCAACAACACTGATATGAAAAAAATTTTTCTTCTTATCTGATGACAAATTCAAAATTGGCATAATTAAGGAAGTTAAATAATTTGAACAGCATAAACAAAATTCAGAAAAAACACATGAGAAGATGCAGAAGCAGAAAAGAATGCTGAGAGGCACATAACAAACAGAAGATCGAGACTGAAAATTTAAATAAGAAAATGAAGAAACTGCAGGTAGTAAAAAAGTTCAGTGAAGGAGACAAATCGTTAGGGAAATAGAAATCAATATGGAATAATAAATAAATAATATAGAAGACACAGATATATAAACAAAAAGAAAAAGAGACAAAGTAAAATGTGAAAGAAACACTTTGAGAATTATCTGATACCACAAGGAAAGGAAATATAAGAGGCCTAGGAACCCCAGAGGAAAAGAGAGAGAAAGGAGTGGGAAAACTCAAGAAAATAATTGAATAAAATTTCTCAAACTTGAAGGAGGAAATGAAAATATGCATACAGGATGCTAAAAGGACACCATCTCCTTTAATGAAAGGACATCTGTAGCAAGCCACATAGTAGTAAAACTTTTAAAAAATAATAAAATTGATGAGAGGGAAGAAATGGAAAACCTATAATGGAAAAACTGATTAGGCAAATATTAGACTTCTCTGAAGAAACACTACAGGCAAGTAGAGAATGGAGTGATATAGTAAAAAAAACAAAAACCAAACAAACAAAAACAAAAACAAAAACTCCAAAACAAGAAATACCACCCAGGAATATTTTACCCTGAAAAGTCTCCATCTCATAAGAGGGAAAAATAAAGACATTTTCAAACAAAACCTTTGGAAATTTGCTACAACCAAACCCTTGCTACAAGTAATATTCTCAGGAGCATTAGCATCTAGTCCAAAACAGTAATGAATACGAATAACTTAAAAAGGAATTAAATAGAACCACAAATCAATGAACAAAACAGCAGTAACAGACTTCCATATATCAATAACCACTATCAATGTTAATGGACTAAAGTCACCAATAAAAAGACACAGAGTAACAGATTAGGGAACACAGTCCGACCTTCTGTTGTCTCAAGGAAACACACCTAATTTCCAGAGTTAAACATAGATTGAAATAATGGGTTGGAAAACAGTTCCGCACACAAACAACTTGGAAAAAGAAGGAAGGGATAGACATAATTATATCAGATAAAATAGATTTCCCACTAAAAAATGTGAGGAGAGGCCTCCCTGGTGTTACAGGGGTTATAGACAGAGCTATCAAGCTACAACCAGCCACTGCAGCAGGAGTTCGATCCCCAGCCCAGGGAGCTGACCCACATGGCACAGCAGACCTCTCCTGCTGAGCCCACTGCTCCCCTCAGCAATGTA